AGTAGTAGTAGTAGTAGTAGTAGTAGTAGTAGTAGTAGTAATCGGCAGCAGCAGCAGTAGTAGAAGTAGCAGTAGTAGTAGTAGTAGTAGTAGTAGCAGCAGCAGCAGCAGCAGTAGTGGTAGTAGTTGTCGTGATCGTCGTAGTAGTACGAGGCACTTTGGTAGCTACTGCCTGCCTACCTACCTGCCTGGCTGCTTACTTTCGATTCATTTGACACCTGCCAAGATTGCATGCTCGAATAACATCACGGTAAAATATGAAGAATGAAAGATGGGAAGCCGCTGTCACGGGGTAAGTGTCCACTACAATGGAATGCCACCGACTCGTCTATGTTTCGTGGGACTAAGCTGAGCCTTGTGGACTTGCACCGATTGCTGAATGTTTTGCTGCAGAAGCCTCCACTCGTTTCCGTGCTCAACTTCTGTTGGGTTACCGAAACGGAATCAAGTTGAGAACATGTATCGTGCTTTGCACCATCATCAAACCTTCGCAGGCAAGAAATTCTGCAGCAAATCCCTCAAGCTTGATGGAGGGCTAAAGCATATGGAAACGTACTCTTGTACAGGTACCATCCAAGGAAGCTCATCTAGGATTGTTCAAGAATTATGCAGGTTAGAGCTTCCTTCCTGATGGGCATGCACATCTTTGATCTGCGGGTTTCAAGATGCGAACAGTAAAGGGCAAGCAAGTATCGAACTGGGAAGCCGTGCTGGCACAACTTCCGACTTCCGAGCACAGCTGGCCAAGCTTTGCAAAAGATGCGCGGCTGGAAACAACGTGTTGCTTAATGTCATGCTAGTTGCTAGTGATAGTGGTCAGTAAGATTGTCAGAGTCCATGTCGACGTGGATGCATTCGTCTCAGAAACCCCTCAGTGACAGATGTTTTACATGTTGACGGGGTGGGGAGTTTGGGTATCCTGCGACATACTCCTTGAAAGCAAAGGCTCGTCTAGCATTCGTCCGTTTGCCTTATATTCCGGCAGCGTGTTATGAGTGGTTGCAGCATGTTGCAGCAGTATCGCAGATCTTTCTAGTCGTTGTAGCAGCCGCAGTGAGGGCTGGTGCTGGTGCAGCTATCGCAGTGAGTCATGTATTGGCTAGTCAGTCATGCATATGCTCCGGGTGAAAGAACATGACAAGGGTGTTTTCTCGCTGCATCATTGAACCGTAAACCCAAAGACGGTAGTATTGAAAAGGCCTCGACACAGCCACCAATGAGATGTCCGGCACACGGCTTTGAGCTGTTTCGGGTCGCCAGACGCTTGCAGGCTGCTCAGTTCATTGAGGCCAGCGGATGTCATCGTCATCACCCACTGAACAGCCAGGCTCTCAGAAAAGGGTGGTTAGAGTTGGGATGCTTTGTCCAATTCCCCGTCAGACATTGTGCGAGGCCAAGTCGCAACAAGAGGGTGAGCGCGCCGGCTCATCTTGCGCAGGCGTCGTGGCTGCCGTTCGTGCGGCTCTTCGCATTCCCTGCCTGGTGAAGGTTGCATGCGACCCGCGACTGCCGAAGCAAACGCCGTTTGCAGCCCAGGCCGCAGGCTCAAAAGGGGGTTTGCAGCGTCGAGCCCCGGTCATTGCAATGTGCTGCAAAGTAACTACGCGACTTGCGGGGAGCCTCTGGGCCTGAGGTGCCACAGCCTTTGCCGCTGCCTCCCGGCTCAACCGGCCAGGACCCCATCGTGAAATTGGAGTTTCAGTTGAGTTGACCCAGCGGCCCCAAGCGATCCATGCCAAGGTCCCAGAGCGCAGTACGACCTGTAGTCAATGCCCCAGAGTTGCTTGCGAGTACTTGAGCCTTTGAGCGGGAGCTCAGCACGTACAATAGATGAACAAGGTAGAACGCACCGCGCGCTTCATTTCGTTGAGCTTGTGATCTGCCGAGATGGGAAGTCTCAGTGGTGAAGTATGTGCCGAAGTGAACAGCAGCAAAGCTTGAGTCGGAGACACTGCACAGCCTCAAAGCCCTTGCTTGCAAGGTCGCCGATGTGCCACTGAAAGTCTCACCCATCTTATTCTCACGCGTCTGCCACTGAAACAGCTCTGAAGCAGCCTTCGCTGTAGATGGGCCAAGTGGCTGGAATGGCAATCAGCGACTCCAGGAATTTAGTTGCACACAGGATGTGCATCATGGCATGCATTGGCATGCAGTGTTTTTTGTTTAGTTCTACAGCCGCCGCAATGCGGTGGAAATGAGGAGTGCTGCCAAGAAAAGCAAAGCGCTGGTGACGACAAGAGATGGTTCTGTGGTAGACTCTGGCATGGACTGCTCAGTATTTCGTGCTCCCCGCTCTTTTCAGGTCCATACAAAGATCACGCACCAGAATCAATTTTCCCTGTGTCCTGCCCCATAATGTAAAGCTGTAACAACTCTGTATTTGAATCCTGTCTACAGTCACGGTCCAAGCGAACTGGTGAGCTAGCTCTTTGGCCATCACGAGAACCATGCCGCTTGGCACCAGTGGTGTTTTCCGGAACCTTTGCCTTCGAGATGCTCTGGAAGATCGACTTTGGATCGCTGCTTGGCTAATGGCTTCAGCCTGCTGCGCGTTTGCTCATGGTGCCCGAGTACCGCCGTGAAGTCCCTGACGCTGTTGCATGCTGTTGCGCCGGCACATCGTCAAGGTGGGAGGCCACAGTCCGAACCAGGTTCCGACACATTGGCACTTTATCAACAGTCCTAATCGTACCACATGTGAGATGTAGCGAACAGCATCCACCAAAGTCAGGCTGACTGGTCTGTACGTGCGTGCGAGTGTGTGTGTGTGTGTGTAGGGACGTGATCCCTGGCAACGAAGACCCCCGGCCCCGCACGCGAAAAAGTACTTGCTTGACTTATTTGTGGACTCCGGCCCCTGTAGCTTAGGGGTATCATTTGGTTTCGTCAACGCTTCATCCCACCCACGTGCTGCACCATTCTTTTACCAGGGCAGCACCCTCCCATCTACGTGCATCTCGTTCTAACATTGCACTCAACCGGTTGTTTGGAATATGGTCGAATTTTCAGGTCCCGTGCATGAAACAAAACAGTTTGAAGATCAGCCTTCAATCAGGGAGCGAGCGTGAGAGAGAGAGCGAGAGAGAGAGAGAGGGTTTGCTGGCTCTTCCTTTGGCTGAGATGAAGAAGAGAGAGAGAGAGAGAGATAATGTGTTCACATTGTGCATGCAATGATGCACATTCCCAGTTGAGCTGAGGTTGTCGGCATTTTCATCCTGCTGTTCTTGCTGGTGTTTCTGATGCCCTCGTCCGCGAAGGCGGCTGTCTTCAGATACCACGGTTCATAGAAGCTACAAAGTTGCAGAGCTCGGAGTTGCCATGCTAGAACGACAGGCACGGCGACGGCAGGAGAGGGCCCTGGCTAACGCGCGCGGGTCTGTGCCTTCGGCACCCAAGGCAGGTAAAAGTATTGAGTAATGCTGTACCGTCCGAAAGTGACGCACTCAAGCAAAAGAACAGCACTAGTGACTCCTCTTACACCGAGCAGGTAGTAATGATGTTGAACCAGGAAGGTCGTGAGCATTCGAGCAAAGCTCTGTGGCCCGAACACCATTCAATCTGTTGAGTTCCTGAAAAATAGCCACGTGTAGCCCAAGGTGGTTGTGCCTTAAGAGCCATGCTCCGCGCATGTTGCCAGGCACGTCCGGTCAAGGTCAAGGGCAGGAGATAACTGTTCGTCCATTCGTCGGCTCACAGAATGTGGCTGTGGACATGGAAGCGGGTGCGGCCTCAGAACATGAAGGAGATCGGAGACGTCAGGGACGGTGTTGAGCGGCTGTGATGATGATGACCTCATGGACACCACGACCCTCACGACATCCGTGCTTCCGCAGACAGCACAGACAAGCGACACGGCGCCATTCGAAGGAAAAAGCATCGCTGCGGCTGCGACCCAGTCTCCTGCAGTTGTGTTGTCTGAAGCGTCATCCACACTTCCAAGGGCCACTATACCTCGCGTTGCGCATACTCTGCCGAGAGCGCATTTGGATTTTTCTCTGTGCGAGCCCGAAGCAATGGCGGGGCCGTGTGGGTCCTGAGGCCACTGCTCTTTCGTGGGATCCCTGAGATGATTTCTGAGAGTGGCCAGGCTCATGGCAGCCCAGGACTCTGCATGCACCATCGTCCAGATCCAGGCAGGCTTCCTCAGAGTGCATGCGCAGGATGGCGAGCGAAAAGGCTGTTGTTGCTGCGGGTGTTGCCGGCCTGCTCTTTGCTTGAGGTCATCCAGGGTTGCCGATCCCAGAGTCTGTATCAGTCTGTTTTTTCATGTTGAAACGATGTGCAAAAATGCCAGGCTGCGTGGCTCGCAACGAAGAAGACGATGGCTTCAGAGACGGCTGCGATCTTATCAGCCCGTGCCCAGTCCAGGCCCGGAGCCTGGCGGCCATGTGTCCTTAGATGGGTCTACGGCAACGAGCTAGTTTGGAGTGTGAGCATTCGGAGGTCAGGCACTTTCATACTCATTGCGAAGCCTAATCGGGAAGTCCTTCCATTCATTGCAAGCCTCGTTGTGGACCACAGCCGTTTTTGCAGGTGTGGTGCTGACAATCTACATCGTAGCTGGTTGCTGCTTCTTAGTGCGGTGAGCTCATTGAAACTATGAAGTTCGACAAAGTGGAAAGAGACTCATTTGTAATGCTTGCAAGGCTAGGAGTTGTGCTGCACTTCACCAACCAGGTACTTCGGGGGGCTCGGACCGCGTCGAGCGGACTTGAGCATCATGACTAAAGCGAGCAGGCAGTTGTTGAGCTGTACCACGACTACACGGACGACCTGCCCGACTCTAACGGTGTAGGCCCTTGAGCTGCCGACGCATCGTTTTCTTTCAGATGACCGACAGTGCAAAGTGCAAGAGCCGGCAGGCCGAACTTATTCATTCCGCTGTTAAGTCCCTGACGCCAGTTTCATTTGAGCTGGAAGTGGACACTGACATGAAAGCACCCATATGGGTGAGGGCCTCGAACGATTCCGAGGAGCTACAGTCTTGAATGCTGGGGCTTAAACGTAGATCTGAATACCAGGTCTACTATCAGCTGTCCGGCTTCCACCAGAATCATCGGATGTACGTCGAAAATCGGGTGCGCGCAGCATGCTCCATATGAAGGGTCGACAATGCCTAGAAAAGCAATGTTTCTTTTCTTTCAGTGCGAAGCTTGGGCTGCAGTGCGTGGTTTTCCAATACACTCCAGCACGATGCAGGGCGGGCTGCACGCAAGCATGAGCAGCATTCCAGTGGTAGGGTCAGGTGTGACAGCGTGAGTGAGAAGTGAGACCTACTGAAGAACTCTTGGATGCTCCTGTCATGACGAGATTGGTTGAAGTTTAGCAGACTTTGCCAGTAGCTCTTTGCTACATCTTTGGCACAGATGCCGGTGAATAGCATTAGTGACAAGATCCGAGCATGCTCCTAGAACTACTGTACGCATGTGTAATGCATTCGGATCATCGGGGCATTCTGAGTCTGAGCATCATGTCAGGACGATGCCCAGCTGATGGACCCCAGCGAAGCCAGCAAGGGGGCGGCTCCCCAGGCTGTGTCCGCAGAGTGTGGTTAAAGAGGGCACTTTCTGGCTGTCTGGGCTGAGCTTTATTTTGCTTTCCCCGGGAAGGCGTGCGTTCCGCGTGCCGAGACGGATGGTCGTGCTTTGTGCTTGTTTGAGAACCCGAGACTCGAACTTGGCGGACACATCAGAACTGTGAGTGCGAGGCACAAACTATCCGTGCGGTCTGATTGCATGGACAGCCGCGCCCCCTGGCTGTTGCCTCTTGCTCTGGCTTGTTTTTTGAAGCGTGTCGCGTTGGAGGTCTTCAACGACAGCTTTGTACTTGCAGAGAAGACCGCCACGTCTGAGCTGCGCTTGGAGGCTGCTCTGTTCTCTTGTGGTGAAGCAATGATGTCCGTTTCGTCTCTCAAACTCCGGGGAGGTTGACAGCTCTGCGAGATCCATTGCCTGGGCCGGCGATGTAGAGCGCTTCAGCAACCTGGACCCAGAGGTTCGACTCTTGTAAGGCGAGTCACAGGACTTGCAGTGAGCCATCGCAGGCCGAAAGCCAGCGAACAGCGGGTGTGCAAAACCAGCTGGGGACTTAGTCTTGGTGCAGTGATGGCATTGTCATGCAAACTTCTCCTCGGGCCAGCTGGTCGGGGCGCTTGTCCAACTATTCTGATGAAAACTTGATTGCCGATTTCAGCAGTCTGTAGCAGCTTACTCACAGAGCTCAAGCAGAAAAGCTCAAAGGCACGCCCTCAACATGTGGATGTTGGGCTCCTTCCCACCTGTGGAGTGCTTCCAGGCTCGGGAGGGAAGGAGGGAGGGATCCGGTGGGGCTGAGACTGTGCAGGAGGCAAGCTGGTACTAGTAGGAAGCAGGGTTCATCTGAGCGAGTTCTCGCCGTATGAGCTCCTATTTGTTGACTTCAAAGGTTAGAGACAAGTGTAGCTGAAGTCTTTGTCCTCAAATGGTGTAGACATGCTTGAATGAGTTGCATGATGCAGGTTTGGATTGGGGTTTGAGTTGTTGGTTCTCGAAGTCAAAGCATGGCTGCTAGTGGCAGCGTGCTGAGTCTTGATCGTGCTGACCATCACACTACATAGAAGTGGAGAGACGAGTGGTGTGTGGTGCCTGGGGCGGTCTTGAGCGCTTGTGTGCTATTTCTCCTACGAGCACCGGCACCGTCATGTTCGTACTGCTGGCTGTCGTTGTCATCGTCCTCGTCCAGCAACATCAGCGCAGAAAACTCTCATCATCATAAACATCAGCACCGTCAGACAATATCACCGCCATCATTGTTGTCGTCATCAATTAGGACAATCATCGTCATCGTTAGCATCATCATCACCGCAATCATCGTCATCATGGTCATCCACATGGCCATGCCCCTCTTGCTCTCGTCTTTCTGCTCGTTGCTTCATCCCATTCCTCGCCCTGTTTCTCTCTGCATCCTGGTCATGTTCGCGGTGGAGAAGGCTTCGTAGGCACAGCGGTGATTTCAGACCTGCATCAGGTCCACCTGGGGCCAGACAAACCGTTTGTCCCGATTGAGGTGGCAACTAGGACCGGAGCCAACAGCAGCTGCACTGCCCTATCGCAGCGTCTACAGCCAGCATCATGTCAGCAGCCTGCACAAGGTGCTTGCTCAAAGTTGCAGCCAACTCATAGCAAGAAGACAGATTGTTGGTGCAAGATTTGGCAGCAGGACAGATTTCGCAGACGGGCCAGATCCTCTACTTCCGTCATGTAGCGGACCTTTGCATTTCGGGACTGGCATGCCTCAGGTCCCCAAGGGAAGTTCCCGACTGCCAAGGGTACATGACAGGTTCGATGGTTGACGGTGCACCATCCGCATGACGGGCATGTGTGCGATTGCTGGAGGTGCTGCTACCTGCAACTTTGTCAGAAACAACGAGACGTTCTCCTGCACCGGGGATGACTATGAAGTGCGTCAAGTGCAGGACCAGTGCACCACCGCAGTGGCATTTCTTGTCAATGCTTATCCGATAAGTGCTCGGACAGGACTGGGGAATTGCTAGTGGACACTTCTTAGTGCAGGGCACTTACCGGGAAAGAGGTATGCGCTTCAGGGAGGAGTAGTAGGCGCGATCTGTTGCTGTGTTGCCCTCTTGCGTGTGAGGTGGATGAGGACGTCGGCTCTCCCAAAGTTCAGAAAGGCCTGGGGAAAGGAGGAGGCCTCAGAAGTCTGAAGGAAGGTTTCCATGTGATGCACTAATGGATCCAGAACCACGAGTTGCACATGCAATCTTTTCTGTCTCAGTCTGTCTCACTCTGTCTCATCTCATTCTGTCTCACTCCGTCTCTCTCTCTCTCTCTCGCTCTCTCTCTCTCTCTCTCGTTCGTTCCTTATGCATTCATTAAATGAACCACTAAACGAATACTTACATATCAGAAGCGCGACGACTTACCTTTGTTTTGCTTCATATCTGTCATGTCTTCTTATGCTTACTGTCGCAAGTACATTTGTTGTGCTGGTATTGATAAAGCTTAGAACATATGCATCAGCTTGTAGGTGTAGTTCCGTTATTCCGCAGAACAAACAACAAGGGTGTGCAGCTGGAGGCTGGGTTTCCTGTCATCGGTGCTTCCCGTGAGCTGTGTAATTGGGCGGGGCGGGTTCGAGCCGGATCGATGCCGCGCGACGGGACAAACAGTTGGTACAGTCGGGAAAGGCTGCATCGACCTGTTCTCACTTCGGCCCGCTACGAGTGGGCCACAGACAGACGGGTTCATACATGTCCACCGGAGACGTAGTCCGCCTGTGGGGGCTCTGGAGCATTGAGAGATGAGTGCTCAGCTCGACCAGCTAGCTGGAGACTTCTCTCTTGAAGCAAGCTTTATTCCACTGGGTGTTCAGAGGTGATCGATCGAACAACGATGTGTCGGTGCAGCGGCAGTTTAGTGATGAAATTTTTCATGGCAGAAGCTCGATCGTGGCCTTGTCCCACGTTGCCATTTCAGCAAAAAAAAAGCGTGCGAGTGGCTCAGCGAGCGTTCGAAAGTTCGAACGGTATCGATCGGCAGGGACTTTATAAGATATACATATATATATATATCCACACATCCACACATGCGTCTGTGTTTAACTATACAGAACAAGACCCACAATAGGCCCATTTTCACACAGATGACATGCACGCTTGAATATGTGCGTGTGTGTGCGTGTGTGTGTGTGGAACGTTTGGCTTATGGCAGGCTTGAGGTATGTGAGCTGTGTGCACTACCTGCGTTTAATTAACATCACATAACGACATGTTGAGAAAAGGGAGTGTGCCTCGAGGTGGATCGGGACATCAAGGCCGGCACCAGGCTCGCCCGTCCTTCGCGCTTCGCATTTCCAGCCCGGAGAGCTTTCCAAGTTGCGATAGTTGGAGCACGTGGGGTTACGTCGTCGTCGCTGTGGTCGTGGTCGTGGGTGGCAGTTCTTGTGATGTGTTTCAGGCTGAAAGTCTATGCCGTGCACCGTTTCCCTGTCCGGGAGTATTACGGCCGGAAGGCAGGGACATCAGAGACGTGGCAGATGCCAGCAGGCATCGTAGTAGCTTCATGCTGGACGGACTGAGTTTTTCAGGCCATCATTGTCACCACCAGCTCGGTGGTCGGAGGGAGGCGTGCCCGGAAACAGACAGCATGCAAGCACGCATGCACGCATGCACAAGCGCATGCAGGCATGCACACAAAGACGCACGCACACACACACACACACAGACACACACTCTCTCGCTCTCTCTCTTTCTCTCTCTCTCTCTCTCTGTCTCCCTCCTGTCAGCCCCGATGAAGCAGAGCAGGAACCCGTTCCTGGGTGTGGCGTACCTGGTGGTGGGTGTCGCATGCTTCCTCTTTGCGCCTGCGTTCCCGACCTGTGTGCAAGATAGCTGTGCTGCTTCAACTGTTCTGACATGTTCGGACGCATGGTGCTCGAAACCATGTATCCGGTCAATGAGAGCGTTTGCCAGTTCTACTTCATCAACAGTGTTCGACAAGGTCGGTCGACATGTCTGGGCCTCTGATTGCATGGGGTCTTTTTCTGATGGCTTGGCTGCCCGTAGAGTTTCCTTGCTCAGGGGAGGTGCGACCGGCGTGATTTCGTCTTCAGCGTCGCCTCTCAGCGCTGCGGACACGGCTTTGCCAAGAGCTGGGAAGCCCCCAGCTGTAAAGTAAGACATCCCGTGCCAAAGGCACTCATGTCTCCGCTAGAGGAGCGGGCTGCACAAGAGTTGAGGCCTTGCTCTGAGATAAGCAATCATAGCAATCTAGTGGATCTAGTGTAGCTAGCAGAAGAGTGTGTGGTTCGTCTAGAGTGAGGGTTACTAGGTTAAGACAGGGAACCTGGTATCACATGTCCTCGACCAAGGTTCAAGTATGTTCATGATTTATGACGATGCATTTAATGTCATAGTGCGTCTTTCAGCAGCGCTTCGTCCATTCCTCATTTCGCAGGTCTGTGGCAGGAATACCCGAAATGGTGCGTGCAGTGATGCGTCTGGGGAGGAGGAGCAGCCCCGTAGGGCTCCCAGGCAGCCTGGTCTCCGACGCGTTGATGGCTCAGTCGAACAAGCAGACTTGGGCCTCAGCGTATCTCAGCGTCAAAGATGCTCTAGAAGTTGCAGTCGGACACTCACAGCTCTCGAGCAAACCGAAACACCGTCCAGCCATGTTGGGGATGTCAATGGCGGACAAGGCAGGGCGGCAGGAGCATTCGTGCTGGCCCGGCTCGTGGGGCCATTCGTGTTTTCGCGAAGGTGGTCGATTCGGAGTTGTTCCTTGCCGGCAGAGAGCGAAAAGTAGAAGGTGCCCACGGACTTCCAAGAAGGAGTGCTTTGCTGTGGGCAGCTGAGCAGAAATGGCTTGGCAGGTGAGATTCTGGGCCGCCAAGATGGTGACGCTCGAAAGCCGGGTACGCAGTGAGTCGCACTTCGGTCTTTTGCCGGAAAATCCCAACTGAGGCTCTTCCCCACCTACACGCATGCTTCGCCTGCTGCGACCGGCGAGGTGCGAAGTCTGTTCCTGCGGGCCTCCAACTCCAAAGTATACACTATTCAGAATGCTCGGCAGGTCAGCATCAACGGCAAGGCTAGATGCCGCAGGATGTGAAGCCAGGTTCCCCGGTGCCTTTGCTCGGTTTTGCAGGTCTTGCAGCTTTGGACTTTCTCACAGCTGGAGGCGAGGAGACTCGGCGCACTTGTCCTGCTAATTTGCATCAGCGCATGCTTGGGTGCAGACGCTGAACCAGTCTGCTTTGCGGAAGCGAGCACTGGTCCGCTGCTTAGTGGGGTAGTCGAGAGCCGTCTAAAGTCTAAAAGTCAGTTGCTGTTCTTTCAATTCAAAAAACGGCCGGCATGTGCTGGCATTCATCTCTAGAGCAATGCGTGCTTCGAGGCGATTCGAGATGCGATCGGGGAGGCGGCTTTGATGTTTCATCAACATCGTGCGACGTCGATCTACGTGCATCTCATGCTTTTACTGTTACACTCACCGACAGCCGCATTCGGCCAAGCCAGCCAGCAGCGGCCTGCGGATCTTGCTGATTTCCATGGGTGTCATGGAGGAGGAGCAGCTATCACATCCCCGATGTTTCTCCACCCCAAACATCGTGGGGCCTAGCGCGACTTTTCAGCGAGCAGGGGGCGCCTGTATCTACACAACCAGCAACTCCGTGTACGGCTCCAGGTATCCAACGGAGATGAGGCCACCTCGATTTGGTTTGTCAAATAAGTTCTCCAAGTCAGTGGGGGAGTTTCCAAGGCTGGAGATCAGTGGTCCAGACAGCAAAATCAAGCCCTTCTGCCGATATATGTATGGCACAACAGACTGGACGAGCAGAATGGGCTAAACCCGTGCAATCCTGGATGCAGCTGGCACGATGGTGTTTGAGTCAGTGCGGCGGCTAAGCCGTGGCAAAGGTGCTGGAATGCTTTGACAGGGAGGTGAGTCTCATCCGGAACGGATGTGATAAGCCACGAGCAACTCGCCACCCACAAGGGCTCATGCGACTAGCTCAATTTGTGTTTCACCCCTGAACTTCTGGGCATTTGACCTAGGCACATGTTAAGGAGATGACGGAACAGACTCGACGCAAGCAAGTCATGAACAACGATCGCATTCTTCGAGCAGCCGATGAGTGCCTTAAGCACTGAAGCATCCTGCTCCGTACGTCTGCCGTGCTGGCATGTTCGAGGCTGCATGCCCACCTCTGCCGTCTGGTCGATGCGACGACCTCACCCGCTGGATACTGCAGATGCAGGAGTTTTGTTGAAAGCTTTGAGCACCTGCATATACTAAGGACCCAAAACAGCATCCAAACATGAACTGTTGGGTGGGATATGCTGACTTTAATGACTTGCTTGAGAGGGGACTACTCCACCTTCGGGTTTTTGTTTAGGTGCCTATTGGGTCCTTATATTGTAAAAATTCCAGGAGCAACTGACCAATGAGAAGCCAGAGCAGGGCCGATCCGGAGGCGAGCTGCGAAGATGCGCTGTCTTGGTTGCAGTCAACATGTAGACGTCACATGATGTCACATGCCGACGATCCGCGTAGCCAACGCATGACTCAGGTCTTGTGGTTACATAATAACAATTGACTTTTTCCGTCTGAGCTCGTGATCAGCATGATCATCTGCTACTGGTGTCATGCCCACTGCATTGTCAAGGCTATGGCACGGGGCATTTCGTGCCACGCTCTTTCGCACAAGAGACGAAGGCCCTTGCTTCCCACGAAGGTTCGTAGCTGGACATGGATGCTGTGCTGCCGACCATGCGATCTTCAAATCAGTCCTGCTTGCATTTGCGATGGCCCTGACGAGGAGATGGAACAGAAACAGAAAGTAGCCGGAGACCTGCCAACGAGCAGGCCCGCGGTTGCGGCAGTACATTCTCATTATTATTATTATTCTCATTATTATTATTATTATTATTATTATTATGTATTATATGATCATTATTATTAGTATGATGATGATGATTATTATTATTGTTATCATCATCATCATCATCATCATCATCATCATCATCATCATTGCCTTCAATGTCCTCGGATGGATTCTGATGTGGAGGTCCATGGCCGAGGAAGTGAATGCCTCTCGGGACAACTACAAGGACCTCAAGATGCAGCAGAACGATTTCAAGGAGGCGACACAGTTGGAAACACTTGCACGGTCTGGTCTTTTCCAGTTTTTGCCTTAGGCAACGGGGTAGTCAGTTTTTCTAGGGACACAAAGGGGTAAACTGGCTGCCTTGCCGATCTGGTCGGATCCTCTTCCCAAGCGAACTGCAGTGAACCGGAGGATCCCAGGCTCGGCATTCAGACGGGCCGTGCGGGAGGCGAGGGAAAAAGGCCGGGCCAGGGCTGGCCATCACGTGAAAGCGCGCGCTGCGTGGTGCCAGTCTTTGCGCGCGTGCCCGAGGCACCTCTTTCCCAAGCAGAACATGGCAGGGATCTCGGAGATTCTCGGAGAGATGGGGAGTTGAGGGCAAAACAAAAAAACGAGAGGAGCGCAGCGGTGCAGGAAGGGCAGAGCGGCTCGGTACGTCGGTTTTGTCAGGTGACCCACGGTGTCTCTTCTGCCGAGCCACAGGGCATTGCTTCTCTGCGGCCCACACCTGAAGGACGCAGGCAGCGAACAGTCTTTTGGGTATCTGTAGCAGAGATGCGCGGGGCGTTCCAAGAGGGCCGCCGCTGCAGAGGTACATTCCGACGGTCGACAACCTCATGGAGCAGAAGAGGGAGAACGAGGCAGTCCTTCGATTAGGTCCCAGGCAAAGAGTTCCAAGAGCATCGAAACTCCGAGGCTCGCGAAAGAGCCTTGATGGCGGGTGGAGCCGCTGGGCCAGCGCCGGTGAACAGGCGCTTCCAGAGCTGTCTTCAGCAGGACTCCGAACGTGACGAGGCCATCGAACCACATCAGTGAAGATCACATGGCACATTTCGGCTGCGAGGGTCTGAGAGCTGAGAGCCCGAGCCGGTGGTCTTTGCCGCATCCTCCAACCACGCTCTGTCCCAAGGCACCAATGAAGCCTCGCACCCGGTCTCCGGATGTCTCCGGCCTCTGTTGACGAATTTAAGCGCACGGGTTAAGGACGAGCCATCGCTCGGCGGCCGCCGGCATGCCAACAAGCCGCGGGTGCGCCTGCTTGTGAGCGCCGTCCAAGGGATTCGCTCCCTTTTGGAGGACCATTTCGTCGGGGCCGGTACATGGGAAACCACAGAGGCCTTAACTTGCGAAGCACACGCTTGCTTTGCCTTTTGGTGCACAACCGAGAGAAGCGCAGGCTGTGCATGGCAAGAAGTACATCGATGGCTATCAGAAGCTACTCGGCCATCTTCTCTGGGGTTTGTGTCTGCTTTTGTACATAGTTCCAAAGAAGCATGTCCGCCAGGATGGACAATCATGCAGGACGCCAAGATACCTACCGCACGTCTTGGAGAAAGGCCATGGTCTATGCCTTGTGCAGATTCGTACGGTAAAAACTTCCCTAATCGGAATCCCCATGATTCCTCAGGGCCTTAGAGGCAAACACGACTCGGCACGGAAAGATATGCCATTGACCTTGGATGCCTTGAGTCGTGCTCATCCTCTCAGCAGTCTCTGTCTCTGCTCCCGCCGCAGAATCCGACGAAGCTCCTGGGCAGCTCCATGTTGGTGTGACGCGCTCGCATGTCTGTGGGGTCGACTCCTCTCATGCTGTCCCGCATAAGCCTGTATCTGATCTCATTCCCTACACTCCAAGTCATAGGAGGAGTTCTCTGAAATTGCTTGACTTAGCCTGATTTAGCGCCATAGACGGGGCCATCTTTTCAGTGGTCCAAAGGAAGATTTGACCCAGGCGGCGGTGCAACAGCAACGGACTGTTGTGCTGCGGCGTGAGGCACTGTGAGCATCTGCTGCTCGCAGCACAAGGCTGCAGCAAAGCAGGTGTTCGAACGTCAGCCATCGCATAACCCGTCAAGATCTTGCACACAGTTGGCAGCATAGCTGGGGTGAGGTGGTGACTGTGCCGAACTTGCAAATGTCACTCCCGCGCTGAGCCGGTGGGCCAGCACTGGTGCAGTTCATCTGTTCAAAAACAAATGTTGCGTGAGTTCTTTTTGGGAGTGTGCGCATGAGACAGGACGGATGCCGACGGACCGAAGCTTTGCTGTTGTTCTAGTTATGGTAGACCTCAAGAGCGCAGGTTCGGCTCAGAGTGGATGGCTTGACCCCTTGACGGGTTAAGTGGCAAGGCTTTCTCCGCGCTAAAGAGGTGGGCAGCCAGATTGCAGTGCCTGCCAGTCGCTTTTGCCTTGTGCAAGGTCACATGGGTGCGAGCTCGAGCTTCGCAAGCCCCGGCACTGACAAGGCGGAACCTAAGAAGTTGGGAGGGAAGTGGGCTCAGTCGTTGTGTCGAAAGCTTGCCAGGTGGCTCCCAAGCCAGTTGAGCCTTCGAGTTTGGATACCTCCACATGGACACACCCTCAGCTGCGGGGTCGGGTGCTGTTTTGCTTTGGAGTGCACATTCCAAAATTGGGCTCAAGCCGTCGTCAGAGACTTCCCTAGATCTGGAAAGCTCCTTGCGATGGTGGTCATCCACGTCTCCTCGCCCAGACAAGCTTCCGAAACCAAGCATTTGAGGCTGCTAGCGCTGCATGGGCACGGCGGCAGACACCGCCAGTTCTGTGAATCGATTGAAGAATTCTTGCAAAGCATACTGGCCAGCCACGTGCAAGAGCCAAGCTTGGCCATTGAGTGCCGATGCATTGCCGCACCATATCCGGAACCGCGTGCTGAAAGGCGCATGTGGTGGAGGTACGATGAGGGTGGCAGCGGCGACCGACCGGTAGACTGGGCCGAAATGGAGAAGTCGCTTACAAAGATTGCAGAAGAGCTGGAGGGCGCATGCCCTGCCTATGATGGCGTCGTGGGATTTTCCCAGGGTGCGGAGATGGTGTCTCGGTTTCGCTTCATTGCTCGGATAAACTTCTGACTCCTGACCTGAAACACATCATTCTCTTGATCACTGTAGAAGCCTGGCATATATACATCGTCCGAAAGAACCCACTCGGAACCCAAGCGGCACAGCCGACTTCACAGGGCTTTGAAATGCAGTGAAGCTTGATTGATCTTGATTGAAGACCACTGGATCTCGACAAGAGCCTACTCTTCGCGGCGCCTGTGTCAGGTGCACTCGATCGCTTTGCTGCATCACCGGGGTGATCCTCGTTTTCTTGGGGCGTTCATGCCACGTTTCGTGGTGAGCTTCAGTGGCGCCGTGAACCCGGGCCACTTTGAGTCTGTAGGTGGCATGTTTTTACCACGTGACTTCCCTGCACCCTACCTGGGCCCACAGGGCACAGTGGATATGCCGTGCCTGTTCATAGGGGACTATGACACAGATGGGTGGTACTCATCTTCACGTTTTGAGAGCACTACCCGCCTCTACTCCCGAGCATGCGTACTTCGGCATGATCAGAGGCATCGTTTGCCAAAGCTGCCTGACAGAAGTGCCGCGCAAGAGGTGCGGCGCTTCCTGGCTCGATTTGCGAGACAAAGATAGGCTCGTAGAAAGATGTCGATCATCCAATCTGGTGCCGCGTAAAAAAGCGACAGAAACGGAGTTGTGCGATGCTGGACTCGTTGGAGCGACCGGCCGCTTGCGTTTTCCAAGGAGCAGCTTTGGACAACTTTCGTTGGGGAGCGAATGCTACTGCCCGGACCTCGTTCGGCTTGCTGCTGGCCTTGGTCGTAACTTGCCCGGTCGAGCAGTGCAACATATGACCTAGGAGAAGTCCTTGCAGCCATTTGGGAAGGATGGGGTAAGAGACCGGAGACATAGGCTGACGGTTGAAGTTCACAGGATGCAGAGACGCAGCCTGGTGTCTCGTGGCATGGCCGTGCTGGGCAGCGGGGGCAGCTGCACACGAGAAGCACACCTCCGGGCTGCTCGGATGCACTTCGATTCCAGTCCGCTTTCTCAGCCGTGCTTCTTTCTGGTATTATCCCACGAAATTTCCCTTCATTCTGTGGCGCCACTGAGGACAACTCGGTTGTCAGTCCAGATGGTATCGGCAAAGGGCTCAGTTGCCGAAGGTTGCCGAGTCCAGCCCGGTCCTCTCAAACGACGTTCGCGGTCTGTACACCTTCGCAGGAGACATTGCACGAGACCATGCAGATCCCACGACAAAATCGTCGCAGAATGTTTTGAAGTACCATGTGGAGCCTTGGGACATGTACTTGCAGTGCTCTCTGGCATCTGGCCGCAACACACATGCAGCGCAGAGAAGACAGATTGAACGTTCAGGATTTCCATTCTGATGTTCCTGGCGAAACCGCAGAACTTTGGGTTGGCACTCCGTATGCGGCGTGGATCGCCTCTTGGCTTTCACGAATGCTTGACAATGCTCGTCATAAGCCTCGTTCTCGCCCCTGCGGCCGGTGGGTGAGGAGAGGGATGTGCGCCGGCGGCACGCGAAGGCCATGTCTGCAGCAAATGGATGAGGCTAGTTTTCTAAATTAGGGCCCCTCATTAGGTCACAGATATAGTACGGCACCCTTATAAACAGGACCCCCCAACAAATCCTAATTTAGAGAACTACCCATGAAACTCCGCGGCAGTCCGGGACTCTTCTACAGTACGAGCAGGAACACATGGCTAAGATCAACGAGCTGGAGGAGCTATAGTCCTGAGCTTCCGCGGTGTGTTCGCATATGCAGATGCATGGGTAGATTCGATGCAGCAGCGACATTTGCCAGGAGCAGCTGCTGCAAGAGGCTTCATTGTTCAATTTTAAGGGTGGCAGAGGGAGGCGCACCAAGCCCTGTGCAAAACTGAAGGTGCGGCGACGTGAAGCGGTGGAGCGAGAGCTCGAGGAGAATCTAGCTGTTTGCCGCATTTCGAGTGTGTCACCTTTCAGAGCTGCTTACAGTTTGGTTTACAGAGTGCAGGAAGCCAGAGAGGAACTGAAGAAAGTCCCAGAGTTGCAGGCTCTTCTTTGATGTCGGTCTGGTCCTGTGGGAACTTGCAGTGATGATCCTTTGTGAAGGCAGCTCTGTCTGAGAGCAGACAGACTCTCATAAAGCAGCTTGACTGCGACGCATGCACAAGCTTTTAAAATGTCCGAGCTCTGTTCTGATTCCACCGAGCACTCAGGTATGTGGAAAAAGGTATGGCTGCCAGTAGCCTTGGTAATCTTTTTGCCGTGTGCCGCAACGTCCTCCACCAGTGGCGAAGAGACTTGGCCCATCTATTCGGCAGTAGGCGAGTGCATCCAGGTCCATAGCAGTGCAACCTTTCCATCTGACTCCGGCGCACTCGAGATGCCATGATTTCCCTGAGGACACACAACTGCCCCTTGCCATCACTTGGCACTCGCAACGCGGATCCTGGGGATGGCTCATTCTCTCAGGTGAACACCATCGACCGCTTGCGCAGACGCACTCCTGACGTGGGGCGCTGCCACTTCGAGCTGCTACAGCTCCATGAGCAGGGCCTCGAGCATCTCAAGGCTCCGACGGAGAGCGGAGAGCGAAGCGAGCGAAGCGAGCGAAGGGAGCGAAAGGAGCGAAGCGAGCGAAGACCGAAACGACGGACGAGTCTCTGTGCATGCGCCCTTGCAAGGCAGTGCAGGTTGACATGTTGAACTCCGTCGCGCGTGTCTTGAAAGAGATTGCTCTACCCGGTATCATAATGAAGGGAAGGAAGTGTACGGGATGGGAAGGGCTTCCTGCAATCAGGGCTTCCTGCAATCGTGGAGTTGGGGATGATTGGCTGAGGTTTCATGGACAAAGATGCCATGATTATTCCAGATCGCGACGACGCAGATGAGGAGTGGTCTTGAGTCGGAGTATGCCAGAAGAGGGACCAACAAAGCTCTGCTCTCCGAGCTTTCGTCGCTCGACTGACGAGGTTCGATGCATGGAGTGTGGAGCATCCCATCGCCAAAGTTGCGTGTATCGTATCACGCTCGTAGGAGCACTGGCTGTGTGAACTCAGCACGTGCCAGCTACACTCAATCTTTTGTGATTGTACCACGCGCGAAGACGGGATTGCCGTCAATCTGACTGGCTGTGCCCACAGTGCGTTGTCCGCGACCGCGAAATGAGCGGTCAAAAGAGTGCAGAGGCGCGAGATTTGTGCCCTAAGACGATGCGGTGTTGAATAAAGTTGTTGTCTGCAGAGATGCAAAAGTTCGCGCAGAAGCCAAACCGTCAGCGATTTCCAGGTGAGGCCAGCAACTGCGAGATGAGAAGGCCGTGCAGATACCTGTCGGATGCAGCATTTGTATTCCTGGAGTGTGCAGGCTCACTCTCAGATCGTTGCCCGCTTTACAGTTCTCAAATCTCAGCCCCAGGGAAATTGCTACAACTTTATGCCGCTGGCATGGCGGTTCCTTGTGTTTGCAACGTGGAATGGCATGAAGGGTCTCAGAATTCAAATCTCCTTCGCCTCCTAGTCTTCGTCGAAGTCCGTCTAGATTTGTGCCAGCCATGCCAAGCCATGCGCCATTGAATGCCACCGTCAAGGAGTTACTTTAGAATCCTGATTCGTTTCCGAGAGAGACTTCTTGCTGCATTGATGACCTTTCAGTTTAGGCTCATTACCACGGAAACCTGAGCTACGTAGGCACTGTGCCCATATCTATGGAATCTATGTAATGACATATTATGGTGCAGCACAGTTGCATTGTAGCGTAGCTCCACGTACCAGGTGTTCTTAGAGGACGAGACAGGAGTCTTTTTTCAAGGGGGCTCGTGTTTGGTTTGTGGTGTTTCTTGGACCGTGTCCGCTGTCTCAACGATAAGTTTCGGTGCAAGGCATGAATCAGGAGTCCTGCCACCAATCCGATGGATCCCCACAGGAGAGCAAGCTGCCACCTGTGCTGGAAGGCCTCAGAGTCAGTGGAACCACTGCGAATATCTGCAAATCTGTTGTTTGCAGCTGATGTGCCCCTGTCGTCGAGGCTACCGCTCTTCAGGACATGGCATAGCCCTTGGAAGCTTCGGCAAACGCATGGCGGCTGGCCTGTCGCCGATGGTAGCAGAGGCCGTGTGGATATTCCCAAACTTTGGAATATCGGTCATGTGCCGCTTCCAGGACAGCCTACGCTGGGAGCTGTGTGAGTGGCCTGAAAGCTTTCCGAAGGCAGAAGGGATTGCCGTGAGAGCTGGTCCCGAGCTGCGTACAAACGTCGCGTGTCGGAGGTGCCATCGGCCAAGATTAGAGCAACACACATTCCTGAGAAGAGGCAGCGGCCGCATCCATCTGTTTGCAGTGCTTTCGGAACCTGCAGCAAATAACTGCGCAGGGGGTCTGATCGCCAGCAGCAGCTGCCCGGCTTCTCTCGCATGAAGGTGCCGCACGCCCTTGGTAACTTGGTGTTGTCAGTATGTCGTCACAAGGTGCTTCCGGGATTCTCTGCAGCCTGTCGGCGGCCGTCAGTGCACATTTTGTGCTCGGAACACGGCTCAGGTAGCCGCACGTCTTCTCTTCCAACGTTGCCACGGCTGTCGTCTCCAGCGAAAGCAGATGACTTGGCCAGGCTGGGCTTGTTGCTGTTCTTCCTTCCCTTTGAAAGAGAGAGTGAGACCGGGCACTGTGTCGAAACCTGCGGTTGCCACGAGAAATCCATGGAAGTCCATGCCTGCCCACAGGACACGCGCGGATGCTCCGAAGGCGACTTGTTCTGAGCCACAAACTTAAACTTCAGCAGACCCCTAGCAGAAGGCCAACGGCCAACCTACCCTTCTCTGGGTTAACAGCCATTTCATCCCGGGAGCTGGCTCGGGGGAGGGCCCAGTGTCGCCAGGTTCGTTTTGACAGCCGTATGGATGAGGAGTTCCTCATACCTTGCAGGTGGGCTGCCTATGCAGAGATGACAGTCAACAAGCACGTCAGTGTCAGGCTGTTCGCATCTGCTATCATTCTTGAGCCAAAGCTTGTCCTTCTCTCAGGCCACACTCGTGAGCCAAATGGTGGGCTTCGCGCTTGTCAGCCGGTGCACCGGCTCGAAATTCGAAATTGACGAGACCTGTCAGCAAAGCTGAAAGAAGGACCACGCAGAGCACAGCCCACTACCGACCACGTCATAGCAACTGCTGACTGTGTCGTCTTTCGCTTGATGCACGTATCATGTGCTGCATGCAGCTGAATTGAACCTCCACAGGAGTGGAAATGATCGATCCTCTGTGCAGATGCAAGTGCAAGCGAATCAGGGTATCGAGCCCTCCGTTACTTTTAGTGCCCTTCTCACGCCTGCCAGCGGCCAGCGTGCGGGCTGGAAATGGCCTCAGCTGCCTCAGCTGCGAGAGTGAAGCTGAAGCCGTGCTCGCTGACAGCGGCGAAAATCGGCCACCCTGTCTAGAGTTCACTACAGTCTGTGACACGAGAAAATTCTTGTAGTCTTCCTAGCCTGCACATCACGGAGGAAGCTCAAGGAGATCTGCCTCGAAGACGGGACCGAAGCTCAGAAAGCTACATTACTCTCGTGGTGTGAAGTCCGAGCACTGAAGCAGGCAGTGCGTGCGATGTGCTGCGGGCATGAGTGGGGCTCTCGAGACACTTGGGCTTGGAGATGCTGGTGGGCTGCTTTGGAAGTCTTGACTTCAGGTGGCTCAACTTGCGACGACACGCTTGGGTCAACTCTCGACAATTGCGTGACCCAGCAGCCGACCCAAGCCACGGTACGCCTCGTTTTGGAGACTTTGCTCTCTTCTCTCTTGGGTCCAGGGGGTCGTGAGCTGTGACAGGATTCCTGGTTCGATTCGGTGCCCGACTGGACGAGACAGGCCGGGCTGCCGGGTTTGCCGTTGTGGCGCGAAGCGTCTGCGGAAGGCGCGGGCCTTGGGGCCTTGGGGCCAGGCTGAGAGTGTGAGCATCGGCGACACCTTGGACTCCAAGTGCTTGGAGGCTTCCAGAATGCGTGCATGGGCAAGGCATCAGATCATACGGGGGTCTCAGACTTGTGGCTGAATACCAGGTCGAGTCATTCTCCATGAACAGGACGATGGCCCTGGAAGTCTTCAGAGTCAGATTGTGTAGAGTGGATGTGCGCGGCATGCCAGGCGCCTGCCAGCAATACTGACTGCTGAGTGCAGGAATCTTGTTGAGCATGGGCTGCCCCTCATGCTTCGGGTTGGCGAAGTCGGCAACAGATTCTCCGAGCTGCTCGGCCTGCAAAGGGTTCTTCTTCGTAGCAGTTGCTGTGCTCGTGTGAATTGCAAGCCCACGTTGCACAAGTTGCGAATGGATCGAAGGTACTTCGTGTGCGTGCACAAAGGCGGCGATAATTTTAGCTTGCCCGGGACTGATTCTCTGATGCGCAGCAACAAGGGTGTGAGCAGACTGTTCATAGTCGCCGAATCCTGCCAGCAATACTCGTTCGGAGGTTGGACAGGAGGATCAGCCGAGAGAAGCACAACTTCCACTATGCTTGGGAGGTACCCTGGCATGTTGCTCACGCGCTGTGTTGGGCACGTCGGTTCAGCGGAATATGTGACTGTGGCATGGCATGCTTGCATTTTTGTCGGCATATCGCGACCCTACTCTGAGCCAAGAAGCCAAGGACGTGAGCATCTATCACTATGTTCAGCCCGTCCTACCGGAGGCACCTACTACACAGGAATGCAGCTCTGTCCACCAGCCCCGCACGAAGCTTCGAGTTTCGACTCTGAGACAGTCGGAATGAGCAACCCTGTCCCCCGGTCGAGCATTCCTTCTGAGAAGTAGGCAGCGCATTGGGCCTGTACAGGCTGGTGACTGCAGCCCGGAAGTTGCGGCTGAGCGCCCAGCGCAGGCGTGCCGAATGAAAGAAGCCCGGAGACACCCATGAAATAGGGATTCCATCAGCGTACAAAACATGGCTCATATTTTTTGTTGATCACTTCTTCGATCGGGCGAGTGTGTTTGGATTGGGACTTCGCACTGATCTTCGTTGCTAGCATGAAGCTTGAAGGATGTAATGGGTGCGTGATGAATCATGTACTGAACCACGCGTCGCAACGCAGGCTCTGAAGAGCTACTATACTGACGAGGTGGTGCGAGGCTTGTTGGTTGAATGTCTCGGTGAAGGTCAGAGCAGCGACCAATCCCAGCTTTCAACACTGTTGTTCGGGTGGCCGTTGCAAGGTCCGCTGCACTTTCCACGCCAAGTGCAATCCGCGGCAGATTGACCTCATGTTCAAAACCAAACAGGCTGGGTCCCTACTAGCAAGCACAAAGTCAGCTGATTCGCTTGTCTCTAACCTCATCAGCTTCTCATGATGCCGGACCTACGGTGGTCACAAGCGGATTCGACTTATAAAGGATGTGTGAGCATTTCTCCGGCCCCGCCCACCGTTGTCCCAGTTGTGACATCAGGAAGATGGTTCGACTTCAATCAAGTGAGTTACGACAGATGACAGGCATTGCAGTGCTGGGTGAACCTCCTGCAGTCCAAGCTTCTCGTGAAGATATCGCAGGTGGTTAGACTGGTGGCGCGCGTCGGCTGCGAGTCGCCTATGCACGTGGGAGCATGGCAGGTCGTTCATCCCTCTTTGTCGCCCTGCGGTGTGGAGGCGCGCCTTCAGCTTGCTCGCTCCTTTGGCGCAACAGTTGCATTCACGTGAAGGCCACATTGCTAACTCCCTCAACCAGCTCCTTGCCACTGCCGCATGCCGGAGACTCTCCTTCGAATGAGGCAGTGGGTAGGCCTTAAGATTGGGTTGTTCAGACTCTCCAGGCGCACTGGGTTCCTATGGACCTGGATAGCCCGCAGGCCGAGGCAGTGTGGCTGTTGTGCCTGTTGAGGGCCTTGGATAACTCCAGGAGGTCTTGCTCGTACTGTACCGTCCAGAGTCATCCGCCAGACCGTTTGGGAGCCATCACCCTCGCCAACTACTGCAACCTCACCACAGAACGACGCGCAGGCCGTAAAGCAGACACTTCATGCGGTGGCATCTCCTTGCGTGAGTATGAGTATGCAAGGTCCAAACACGAGCGACATGCAACTTTGCCAATACTGCATCATACTGCATCCAACTTTTAATTGCTAGTCTTCCATAACTGTTGACGTGTAGCTCCCATTCGCTGCCGCAGAGTGCAGGGTGGCGGTCCTCAGGATCCGGTCTCAGAGGATGCCGATGAGGCAGGCATGCTGGTAGGTTTCACAGAAAAGTTGGCAGGGTGAACGGTCTTGGAGGCTCGACAGGAGGAATCTGAGACCTCACGGGTGGAAAGCTTAGAGGCTTAGAGTTTGATCGGGGGACTCTACGACTCGGAGATACTCGGAGCTGAGGCATCGAGCGCGAGGCGGAGTGTCGCCCGCTCTGGCTCCTTGCACTCCTCCGAGCGACCTCCGGACTGGGCCGGGCACGCAGAGTCGCTCCAAAGACTGGAACTGTGGGAGAGTGTTATGGGATGTTATGGGACTTTCAGAGAGACAGTTCGTGCTTCTCTGCAAGAACCCTGTCAGGCCACCATGAGCGAGAGATCTCTCAACAGTTTCTATGCGGTTTGAACCGCCTCAAGCGGATTGCACTGCATAGGATCAGTGCGTAGAAGCATGTCCATGTGGTATCAGATGACAGACGATGTGTGCTAGCTAGGCAAGCACCACACTTGCCTTTAACAATCCAGCGTTCCGTGATGCGCCGCACCTGCCTGCAGCACACGAACTGTTCTGGCATCTGCGACAGCAGCTACGATGCCACTCTATCCAGGGCACGTTTTTTCGTGAAGTTGCATGAAGCTTTGCCTTGCACGGCGTAATTCACACGCAGAAACCTCTGTAGGAGCAGAGATGAGGACTCTGGTCTATCATACTCATCCTGCCCGGACCGAAATATTTTGGATTACTTTATAACATTGCCACCGTGTGTCCTGATCTCTGCAGGTCCCATGTGCATCACTTCCAAATTCACTGCAGATGCGTTCCAAGCCCTGGCTCTTGGTCATGAAGCCAAGCAGGAGGGCAAAATGTTGGACTGATCCTCCTGGTCGAACTGGCGACTGACGAAGCAAAGCCAGATCTCCATCGATCCGGGGTCAACCTCCCGCAGATAAGAGACCAGCTTGACGATGTCAGGCTCAAGTTTAGCTTCTCAGCCCGCAATGGTCAAATGTCGGTGCAAAAGGGCGTGCTCACACATGCAGATGTGTCGTGTCCACGACGCCACACCTCTTGCAGAGTTCAGAGAATCATGGCAACCCACACAACTCGGTTGGCCCCTGGTCAGGCTCGCATGGTTGAGTCACATGGCTATGCCGCCTGTTGGTACTCTAGTCGGACATGTGGGCCGGGATCCGCAGAACTCGCAGTCCTCGAAAACAATCATGGTGAGCATGTCCCGGTTTTCCAGCTCCCCCCCCACCGCGTGCACAGTCGTATCTGTAGCTGCAACCTCTCGTTTGCTGTGAGAAGCCTTGGATGTGCTGACATGGTCTTCTTTGAGACGCTTGTGCTGGCGGGGCAGCCTTGTGTGGTGTTGTGACAGATTCAGTGCCAGTCCCGTGGAAGGTGCATGGAAGGTCTGCTGCGAAGGAGACGAAGCTCCTGATGAAGTGCCTTGGCTTCTGATGTCTTTGCTCTTGTTGCTCAGAGCTCGGAGGCCCCAGCAGAGGCCTAAAAGAGTGAGTCAGATAGCCTGGATCTCCAGGGAAGCTTCTCGGGTCATCGTGGAGCGGGACGGAGCTCTGTTCAGGCTCTGTCTTTCCCAAGTGTCCTGCAGGGCCTTGTCTTGCTTCTGGTTCCAGGATCTTAGATCTCGGCTGGCGACATACTGCTCGGCCGCTCCACAAGAAGGGTGTTGGTGCGAGCCTGACCACTGCAAATTGCACCTGAAAAGTTTCTTGCCTTCCTCCTTGTGCCCAGGACACATCTTCTACGGCCGTTGGTGCGCTTGGATCCGTACACATCCGCGAAAGCGCGAGAGCCAGAGACGGGGTTCCTGCAGGTACTCCCTCATCTGGGGTGGAAGCCCAAAGCTGCAGCGTGAAGTGGAAGACACGTTCCCTGGCACTCAAAGTGCACTGGTTCATCCTGGACCCATGCTCCTCCAGCCAGGTTTCTGCACAACACTGGAGTTGTCAGGCAAGTCGAGCTTTGGAGAGCAAGGCTGTAAGAGGCTCGTCTGACATGATCTGAACTTGTTCGCCGCTCCACTGTTCAGCGCCGGCCCAACAGCCGCGAATACACCTGTCAGATTTGCAAACATATTTCAGTCAACTCCGCAATCAATCACTCGAAATGTTGCAGCAAGCTCTTCGGTCCTTATTCAAGTCGTTGCAGGAGGCAAACTGCATCATGCCTACGAGAAACACGTGCCCGCACCCTCCGCCCACCACCCTCAAACACGCATTCAGTTGCCAGCCTAGCCACACCTTGACAACTTGAGCCTGGAAGAGCGCCATGGGCAAGAGGAAAGGAGAGGACTCCAGCGAGGCCAGCCGCAGACTCTTTGTGGACACATTGGAAGGCAGGCGGTCGAAGTGGTGTCTTTCTTGCCCGGCAGCTTGATTTCTTGTTTGATTCTGGAAGTGTGCTGGAGCTGGGTGTGGACTCAAAGGGTGCGCTGAGACACCATGGGGTGCTGCCACCCTAAGCGGGGAGAGAGGGATGTTAGGGCAGCAGCCCTCCGCGCACATTCGGCACTCTCGTTCTCACTCAAGCCTCGCATTACTATGACAACTCGAAACTAGTGGTTGTCGTGCATCTGACATGGTGATATGATATCATGACCCCGGCAACTTGCATGTGCCGATCATTTTGGCCAGCATTGTTGCCGGACCTCGTGGGGCATCGCTCCTGTTGCGGTATTGTTCATGACCAGGCTTGAGCAGGCTTAGTAGGGTCTGGAGCTTTTCTCCAGACAGGCCAAGGCTAAGCCTGCTTTCAGGATGATCCTCTGCCCAAGAAGCACAAGAAGGAAAAGAAAGACAAGGACAACTGCAGCAACTTGTGACTGGTCTTTCACGGGTTGCTTTGCCTCGTGTCTGTTCTTTGCTGGCTGCAGGATGGTGCAGCAACCAAAGTAAAGAAAGACAGCAAAGAGAAAAAGGACAAAGACAAGAAGGAGAAGAAGGAGAAACATAAGCATGGGGATGATGATGAGGACTTTCCCTCAGTTCGGATGTTATCAACCACGGCACTGCCAGATTCGCAAGACATGCCAAAAACAACACCGCATGAGGAGAAGGCAAGACGAAAGGCAGGGGATTCGTACTATTGATGCTGGGGTCGGCAGCAATACCGATGGTACGCCCTGCAGAGGAACACAAGAAGGCGGAGAAAGAGAAAGATCCAGCAAAGGATCGCCTCTAGCCATGTGGCTGAGTCCGGTTTGGTGTCCGCAAGGCTGTCATTCAGTCACAGCAGAAAGTGAGATTACCACACGGCACCGTGCTGATGCCGGATAGCGATTGCAAAGAAGGCTGCCTTGAGAAGCCTGAATGCTTCGAGGAGAAGCACAAGAAGTTGGAGTCGGAGGAGCATAGACCAGCAAGGGTCCCGGAAAATGCAAGTCTTGAGCTGCTCAGACAATCCTCCAAACCCAGGCACAGGCTCCGCCTGCTCCGGCAGAGCCCAAGAGGATAGTTGGTCCACAGGCTTTCCCACCAGAGGCACATAAACTGCCGTGTCTCAAAGCACTTCTGTCCTTGTGTCCGGCCATCAATGGCAGGCAGAGCCGAAGGACAAGAAGCAGAAGAAGGACAAGAAAGATAAGAAAAGCTTTGAGCTCAGTGAGTGCTGGCACAACCCGTTAAGCCCATGCTCCGTTTCACGCGTGCCTGTGTCTACTCAACCTGGAATCTCCAGCAAAGGCAAAGCAGGTCCGGTGGCGACGCGGGAGGCGTGAATACCGCTGACAGAATCCCAGCCACAGCCGCTGCGCTGACACTTTGACAGAATGTCAGGTGCAGCTCTGCTCTGCTAACGCCTTCAAAGACAGGCCCGGTCGTGCTGAAGGTGATTTTCGTGGCTGCAGACGAACATTGGATCACCGCGCCACGCCTTGCAAATTCATGCAAGTCCTTTGTAGCGGATTGCGCAGGTCGCGACCGTTCGGGATGGAGTGTGGGGCTCGGGAGTCTAAACGGTCTAAGCCCCTTACGCTTTCTTCATCGTGCTAATCGTCTTTATCGTTTTTTGCGGAAATGCATGTCAGTATGATGATGGCTGTCGCACATAGCAATGGGGGGGGGTACCGACAGCGTCAACGCTAGAGACAGGAACAGCCGGATCGGCAGATGATTCAGCAACTGGCCCTTGATTCAGCAACTGCATGCAACTGCGCTGCAGCAACTGCGCTTCGGAAACCCTGCCCGCTTTAGCAGCTGCGCTTCCGAAAGGGCCGCGATTCAGCAACTGCGCTTCAGAAACCTTCCGAAACTGCCGCGATTCAGCAACTGCGCT